AGTTTCTTTTTGAAGAATACTCGAAGAATTTAATCAGCAAATGCATGGAGTTTGAATTATCTGAATCTGGGTGGACAATTCAGTCAATTAACCATTTAGAACTCAATATAGCTAAATATAATCCGCTAAGAGCGGGTCATTTTATTTCATTACCAAAAGTATTTTCAAAACAAAGTCATGTCTTAATATTCATAATACAGACAGTCACTGCTTCCTTTGGTGTATCATAGCACAAATGTATCCAGCGAAATGTAATCCAAATCGAGTTACATCTTATCCACACTATTCTAAAGTTTTAAATGTTTTCGGTATGTCTTTTCCACCGACGTTTGAAGATATAAAACGCTTTGAAAAATAGAATACAAACATAAGTGTCAATATAAATGGATTAGAAAATAATAATACAGTAACAGGACCTTTGTACAAAACATCACAAAGAAATTTAATGCATGTAAACTTATTGCTTTTGAATAAACAAAACAAGACTCATTTTGTTTCAATCAAACATTTTGAAAAGCTCGTACATAAACAACTTACGAAACACAAATGTAAAGTTCATTTATGTGATGAATGTTTTCTTTACTTTGATTCGGAGACAAAGTTAGAGTCACATGATTGTGCTCGCATGCAAACTATCCTTCCAGAAACGAATTCAAAGCTACGATTTTCTAATCCAGAAAAGTCTCAAAGAATTCCAATTGTTATTTATGGTGACTTTGAAAGTTTACTTAGAGAATATTCTGACAAAAATAAAAGTCAACATGTACAAAATGTTCAGATTCGTGAAGTTACTTGTTTTGCTTATTATATATGCTGTGAATCCAATCCCTAATTGAATGACTTTGTTTCTTATCGAGGGCCTAATTGCTCAAAAAATTTGCAAATTCAATTTATAAGGATATATAAAGATTATATAAAATTTTAAATATTTCCAAAGACGTAAATCCGCTTAATAGTGAAGAGCAGAGCTCTTTTAATAGTGCAGAAGTGTGTTATATTTGTAAAAAAAAGTTTTGTTCTTCTAAAGTATATGATCATGACCATTTCACAGGTAAATACAGAGGTCCAGCTCGTAATTCATGTAATTTAAACAATAGAAAATGTAATTCCATTCCTATTATATTTCATAATCTTTCTGGATATGATTGCCATTTATTTATAAAATAACTTGCAAGTGTATGCGATCGTATAAATTTAATTCCAAAAAACAAAGAGAAATTTATTTCTTTTGCAAAGTTTTTTCCAATCGATATGCAGAAGTCAGCGCAATTAAAATTTATGGACTCCTTTAATTTCCTGAGTTCAAGTTTAGATCATTTAGCACAAATTCTAAATCCTGAAGACTTAAAACATTTGCGAACATTCTTTCCATATGAAAATTTATTCCGATTATGTCTTACGAAGGGTGTATATTGCTATGACTATGTAGATTCTTTGGAAAAGTATAAAGAAACTCAGTTACCAGAGCAATCAAAATTTTACAATAAATTAACATCAGAATCTATAACAAGTGAAGATTATAATCATGCTTTAACTGTGTGGCAAAATTTTGGTATTAAAAACTTAAGTAAATATACCGACTTATATCTGAAATGCGATGTCTTACTACTTTGTGACGTTTTTGAGAAAATTAGATCCATGAGTTTGAATTATTATGGTCTCGATCCTTGTCATTATGTTTCATCACCTTCACTAAGTTGGGATGCTATGCTATTGTTGACAACTATTGAGTTGGATTTAATTACTGATATACAAATTTATCAATTTTTATAAAATGGTATAAAAGGAGGGCTATCTCAATGCACGTTAAGGTATGCAAAGGCTAATAAGAAATACTTACCAAATTTTAATGAAGAAGATCCAAATTCTTTCTTAGTTTATTTAGATTGTGTAAATTTGTATGGTTATGCTATGATGCAGCAACTACCTTATAAAAAATTTCGGTTTTTAAAACAAAAAGAATCAAAAAGTTTTGATATTAACTCTATTAGTTCTAATAGTAATGAAGGATATATACTCGAAGTTGACATGCAATATCCACGCAATATTCATGATGAACATTCTGATTTGCCGTTTGCAGCAGAAAAGTTAACAATTCCAATATCATCAAACATTAGTAATAAGAAATTGGTTGCGTCTCTCTATGATAAATATAAATATGTTATCCGTTACCGTCATTTACAAGAATGCCTAAGAAACGGACTTGTTTTATTGAAGATTCATAGAATTTCAGCTTTCAATCAAAAAGCATTTTTAGAGCCATATATTTGCCTAAATACATCTTTAAGACAAAATGCTACATCTGATTTTGAAAGAGACTTTTTTAAAAACAAAACAATTCAATTTTTCGAAAAACTATAGAGAACAAAAGAAAATAAGTCGATGATAAGCTAGTAAATGTATGGAAAGATAATTTTAATAACACAAATAAAGTCTGTGGTGCCGAAAAATATGTTAGTGCGCCTAATTTCAAAATTTTTACAATTATTTCTGATAGCCCCGTAGCCATTCAACTCTGACCAACAAAAGTGATCTTTTTACAATTATTTCTGATAGCCCCGTAGCCATTCAACTCTGACCAACAAAAGATATGAAAGATAATATTAAGTACTTTGATACAAGTAATTTTCCTGAAATTAATATATACCATATTCCAAAAGCAAATAAACAAATACCAGGGTATTTTAAAGATCAATTAGGTGGTGATATTTTTAGGAGTTTATAGGCTTGAAAGCAAAATTATACTGCGTTTATACTTTAAAGTCCGCAATTAAAAAAGCAAAAGGTGTGAAAAAGCATAATACAAAAAAATTAACTATTGAAAAGTAAAGAGATATTTTAAATTCTAAGAAAACCCATAGAGACACTATGTACGTAGTACGATCTAAGAATCATATACTTTATACGCAAAAAATAAATAAGCTCATTCTTAGTGGCAATGATGATAAGCGACAAATATATGAAGATATGTATAAAACTTTGCCTTGGGGACATTATAGCAATTTATTTTAAATAGAATTATATTTAACTAATGATGAAATATGGAATAATTAAGAATTAAATGATGAAATAAAGTAATAGTAATTTATAAAAAAATTATAAACATAAACATAATATGCAAATGAAAAACAAATTACTTTATTTTGAATATTCTTTACTGCAAATATGTTCTATATTGTAACTAGTATATCGTTATTATAACTCTAGCTAAAATATAAAAACCTTTATATGTAATTTGAAATAAAAATACTGTATTATCATAATCATATTTTGTTTTATTTATCATCCCATTAGATCCTTAAATAATAAATATTACATAAAAATAATAGATTTAAATACACTTAACGTTTACAACAGAGTTATACATGTCGAAAAAATTAAACATTTATTTATAGACATTTTATTAACATAAACTTTATTAATTGATTTCAAACTTAAATACAAGATTTGCTTAGTTTTTTTACCACTTTACAAACTAAATGTTCTGTCTCATTCATGAAGTCATCATATGCACTTGTCACTAGATATAGCACGTTCACAGCTGCATTTCCAGATTCAGTATTTATTTCATCGATATTACGACCATCTAAATCATGTATTATAATTTTTATTAAATGACGTACATCACCCGTTTCCTTTCGCATGATAAATGATGTATTTTTCAAAGAATTTGATTTGATTTTTTTTTCCTCCGATTTTTGGCGACGGCTCTGCTCGTACGTCTTTGTCGCCACTTCATCGTACCAGCCTTGCCTATCATGAGCATAGTAAAATGGATTAGTAATTGGGTTTGAGTCTTCTATCAAATTCTGAAAGCCAGATATAAAATTACTACCCATGAATTTAAAATCAATTAAAAATAATAAAAACGTAATAGTAACTTACCTCACGTATATTTTCTAAGCTATCCAAAACAGGACTGTAAGATGATGTATGTGACATGTTTCTGAAAAACAAAAATGAGTATAAGTTACATATTTTATTACATTTATAAGAGTTAGAATTACAATAGAAAATAGAATAAGTTACTTTATTATTTAAATATTTCATTTAAAGTACTTCAAATTTCAGCTAAAGAAACAAACGTACTCTTTATAGAAAGTACTGTAGCGAAATGACGTGATCGCGTGTTGTAAGATAAGAATTGTATAATTTACAGAATAAGCATAATATACTCAGGATTTGTAAGATCAGAATAGCATTATTTTGCAAAGTAAGCATAGATCTACTAAGAAATTTGTAACACGAGAATAGGAGAACATTTAGCAGAACAGACATGATGTGACATGCATTTCTCTCTAATATTGTTCATGCAAAATATATAATTATAAAATATATATATTTAATATATACCTATGTTTGTAGGTTAGTAAGTTATTCAATAAGCACGATGAAGTTGATCAAACAACCCATATCACTAAGCGTCAGCAATATTAATATTGATCACTCTACTCAAAAGATCAGACACAGAATTCTCTTACCAAATACCATTCGCCTTATAATATGCGATCCTTCTAATTGCGGTAAAACAAACGCTGTAATAAGTTTATTGTTGCATGAAAATGGGCTTAAATTTCAAAATCTTTACTTGTATTCAAAAACTTACTATCAACCAAAATTTCGTTTTTTACGAGAAGTAATTAAGAGAGTACCTAATATTTCATTTTATGAGTTCAATGATAACAAAGACGTTATAGGTCCAAGTGAAGCTTTAAACAATTCTGTATTTATTTTTGATGATGTTGCTTGTCATATTCATAGTAAATAAGCAAAAACCAAATCAAGACCATAATTTATCGATGCAATCATGCGCAAGTTCTGCTGGATCATTTGAATCGCAATTTCAGAACTATTACAATGCTGACTTGAGTTCTGCAGAATCCCCAAAAAATGAAATAAAGACAATTTAGAGGCTTCATTAGATCGGAATTATATCTATGATATTTACGATGATAAATTAAATATACCATTTGGGATAAGAAAAAAAAAAGAAAACTTACATGATGAGAAATTCAGAAGTTACTTTTTCTAAAATTGACAGTTTGAATAACGAAACTGTATTTTTAGTAAATATTGGAGACAAATCTTACAATTTAACTATCGGGTTAAGAGAACTTCTACTTAGAAAAAAACCTGATTTGAATTTAGTATCAAGCGCTGATAAACTCGTATACAAAGATATTCTACACCATACTAACGCTCATAAGAGAGATTTTAACCCTAGAGGTCAAATAAGAGGTGATAAGGGAATTAAATATCGAAAAATAATTGAACCATTATTTTCCGAGACCTTAATCAAATAAAAAAATCGAAGAAAAGCTTGGAAGTAATTTACCTAAGCTTAAGAAATATTGATATTGTGTATTGGGACGATCCAAATGAGTTAGTTGATGGATTAAAACTTTTAATAGCTTCAAGAGATGCGGGCAATACAAATCATGATAATGAAATTTTATCGATCATTGAAGAATTAAAAGAAGCTAACATTATAAAGGAATAAAATACTAATTATTACTAGCTTTTACTCAGTATTGGTGAAGTTGCTCATGTTGCAAATTACTAAAAAAATGTCTGTATTTATTTTAGTAACAAGCAGCATAAACGAATTATTTTTAATAACTACCAACATAAGAATAAAATAAAATACATTATTTATTTGAACATGAGTAAAGCCGATGTAGTAAATGAAATTCAAAGAAATGCTAGGGTGAATTTCCCACGTACAAACGTTATTGCGAAAGATATAGATGATTTATGGCAAGCAGACTTAATTGATATGCAATCAGTTTCTAAGGAAAACAAAAACTTCAGATTTATTTTCACCGTTATTTATATATTTTCGCAATACGCTTGGGCTTTTCCAATTAAGACTAAAAGTAAAGAGGACGTATGCTATAATTTTATGAAGCTCCTAAAAACACGTGTACCCAAAAATTTGCAAACCGACAATGGAACAGAATTTTATAACTATAAGTTTAAAAAAATATTTTTTTTTGTTATTTGGAGGCCAATTCTGGCTTACAAATTTTAACAAAAAGATCAGAAAATATATAAGAGAGTTGTTATAATAATAATTTTTTGATTTCAGACATAATACTAATTAATAAAGAAAAATATTTCTGCTGCACCGTTGACAACTGTCAAAGCGTAACGACTATACATACAATGTTTATCAATATGGAATAAATCCAGGGAAGTAATGTAATAATATTTCATTTATAGAGTAAAGTGCTTTTATTTAGGCCGTAAATGATTGTTTCAGGGAAAGATGCGGGGTACAGCACATTTGAAGTTAATATGAATATGTAATTTAAAGACTTTTGAGTGTTGTAGAGATCTGTTTAGATTTTTTAATGAATATCTCTGCTCCTCTACATTCACAGCCGAATTTCCTACAGTGTCAAAATTGTGCTGACGGTAGGCTGTTTAAAGGTAAAAGGGGATTAAATATTCATATTAAACGATGCCATAGTAAAAGTATTTCGGCTTCACAGCCTGCCGTAGAAATTCATAACTTTTTTAGCAATTCCTCTATTGACACAAATGTTTCCCTTTTTTCGGAGCAAATTTACAATTATTATCGTAATGTACCAGTGGTTAAAAGAATTCCTAGAGGTGCGAGGATGCAGCTTGCTAAAGCATTGTCATGCACTATTCAAAGTTGTTTCACTAATAGTGAAAATAGTTGGCAAAAATTATTTACTTTCGCGTATTCCCATTTTCATTTTGATAAAACAATAAATAAATCAATTACGTCTCAACTAAAAGAGACATCTTTTCAAAATTTAGATTACCCAAATAATACTCATTTATCTCGACCACGTCCTAAATTTGATTTAAAAAAAGTAGTTGAGTCGAAAGTAATGGATGGCGACTTAAAAAATGCATCCCGTATTTTATTCTCAGACGACATCCTGGCTCCTCGTAATGTCGAAACTCTTGAAAGCCTTCGTCAAAAGCATCCTTCGGTCAAACCGTCTCAGGGTTTACTGCTGCCTCCCAAGACTTCTATTCAACCTTTACAAATTTCGGAAAAAGACACTTTAGAAGCAATTATGTCATTTTCGAATGGCTCTGCTGGCGGCATTGACGGAATTACGCCTCAACATCTTAAAGATCTTGTAAGCGCTTCTGCCGGTGACGCCGACGGAGTACTTCTTAAAGACATTACAAAATTATGTAACTTTATGCTTTCTGGTAATGTTAATCCAAATTTCATTCCATTCTTATATGGGGCAAGATTATGTGCCTTCAAAAAAAAGGGCAACGGTATCCGTCCTATTGCCGTTGGTTCCACATTTCGACGCTTAACTTCAAAATTAGCTTGCAGGTACATAATCTGTAACCTTAAGACCAAATTTCAGCCTACTCAACTAGGCTTTGGCACTAGAGGTGGCTGTGAGGCGGCGGTACATTCAGTGCGTACATTTTTAACAAACTCTGATGCAGATGTTCTTGTGAAGGTTGACCTAAGGAATGCTTTTAACTCTATCGATAGGGTAACCTTGCTGAAAGAAGTGGCTAACAATACCCCCGAAATTTATCATTACGTTTGGCAATGTTATAGGCAAAATACGAACTTGTTTTACGAAAACCATGTTATCGATTCTGCTGTTGGTGTTCAACAGGGTGACCCTCTGGGTCCAGCACTTTTCAGTTTGGGAATTCAACCCATTATTTCAAATTTGAAATCCAAGCTGAATGTCTGGTACCTAGGCGACGGTACACTAGGAGGTAGAGCAGATGACGTCCTCAGCGATCTTACTCATATTTTTCGAAATTTTAAAAATATTGGCCTTGAACCAAATAGCAATAAATGTGAAATATTTTTTTCCAATAATTTATCTACTTCTCATAGAGACACCTTAATTCAAAATTTTAATCATATTTGTCCAGGAATAAAAACTGTCAATACGGAATCACTATACCTGTTAGGTGCCCCGTTGTTTTTCGATAGTATTAAACCTGTTTTAAAAACAAAATTTGATCAGTTTTTAAACCACGTTGATAAATTGTATAAATTAAACCCCCACATAGCTCTTACTATTTTAAAATATTGTCTTCTTGTACCTAGATTTACATACTTACTCCACTCGAGTCCAATCTGGAAATGTTCGGATATTTTACAAGATATTGATAATAATCTTAAAATTGCTATAGAAAAAATTCTAAATTTAACTTTAAATACAACAGCCTGGACTCAAGCTACTTTACCTATAAAATTTGGTGGCATTGGTGTGAGAAATCTTTCTAGCGTTGCATTGCCTGCTTTCCTTGCTTCCGTGCATAGTGTCAGTGACTTATGTAACATAATTTTAAATAATAAAGTAGACCTATGCTTTGCTACGGAGGCAGGGCAGACATGGCAAACGCTCTGTCCTGGTGAAAATATTCCACTGGAAGTTAACCAACAAAAACAGTGGGATATTCCGTTGGTACAGGGCGTGCAGAAGGATTTGTTTCATAATTTCCATAGTGACCAAGATAAGGCACGCCTTCTAGCTGTTTCGACTAAGGAATCTAGTCACTGGTTACACGCTTTACCATCAAGTAATCTCGGCACATTACTTGATAGGGAAAGCTTGCGTATTGCCGTAGGAATCCGACTAGGAGCGGCGATTTGTCAACCCCATCAGTGCCCCTGTGGTAGCAGCGTCGACAAGTTTGGGCTCCACGGACTTTCATGTAAGAAAAGCGCTGGTAGGTTTTCACGACACAGTTCTTTGAACGATGTCATCCGAAGGGCTCTTGCCTCTATAAATGTTCCCTCGGTTTTAGAGCCTTATGGAATATTTAGAGACGATGGCAAGAGACTCGACGGTATGACATTGGTCCCTTGGGAGAGAGGTAAAGCCCTAGTGTGGGATGCTACTTGCGTAGACACTCTGGCGGCCTCTCATCTCAGGGGTACCTCGTTTAAAGCCGGGGCGGCATCAGAGGCAGCTGAGCTGAGTAAGTGGCGCAAATATGAGTCTCTGAGAGATGACTACATATTTGTGCCATTTGCTGTAGAGACTATCGGTCCGTGGGGTCCATGTGCGGTGAAGTCCCTAAAGGAACTCCATCCGCGGCTGGTCGTTGCTGCTGGTGATAAGAGGGCTGGTTCTTTCCTCGCTCAAAGGCTAAGTATAGCCATTCAGCGGGGAAACGCAGCCAGCGTTCTTGGCACGATACCGCGGGGAGTAGGACTATATGATAATTAAGTTTCTAGTTTTAGTTTTTTTTTTATTATCATAGTTTTTAATATTGTAGATAAAATTAAGTATTATGTAAAAAATATGAATTATTATAATATTATTCATTACTCAACCTTTTCAACAAAGAAGGCTTCCATAATTGAACGATTTATTCGAACTTTGAAATCTAAATTGTATAAAGTATTTAGTTTACAGATTAATTATAACTGGATAGGCTATACTCTTAATAATGTTATTTACGAATACAATCACACTTATCATCGAACTAATGGTGAAATTCCAGCCAATGTTAATAATAAAAGTAAAAAACGAATACTACAGAGATACCTTAGATTGGTAAAGAAAGATTATGTAAAACGTAAGTTTAAAGTAGGTGATTATGTGCGTATAAGCAAATACGAAGGTATATTCCAAAAAGTATATACTTAAAATTGGTCGACAGAAATATTTAAAATTCGAAAATTACAGAACACAATTCCAACCACTTACTTAATTGAAGATACAATTAGAGGTCAACCAATTTTAGGAGGATTTTATGCGCAAGAGCTACAAAAGACCAAAAATCCAAACATATATTTAGTCGAAAAAGTTTTAAGAAGGAAAGGAAATAAAGTTTTAGTAAAATGGCTAGGTTTGTTTTCTAGTGAAAACAGTTGGATCGATAAGTCAAATATATTGTAATAGACTTACTGACCACTGTGTTTAACATTAAGAACAAATAAGATAAAATTGTATATTTAATAAATATCCCAAGCGCGATCATACAGTCTTATGTTGTGCATTGGTGAGAGTAGTTTTCTCAATTGGTTGATTAATAATTTACCATTCGAATTACATTTACCGGGATACAATTATTGTGGTCCTGGTACAAATTTAATCAAAAAACTATCACGTGGAGTCAAAGGTATAAACAAATTAGACGAATATTGTAAAGAACACGACATTGCGTATCACAAATATTAAAACTTAAAGGATCGACATAAGGCGGATTTAGTTTTTTTTTTAAAATGGCAAAAACACGAGAGATTGCTCCAGATGCAAATTTGGGAGAAAAATTAGCAGCAAAGATAGTGAGCAAAGCTATGAAATCAAAAATTAAAACTGGGGCTGGCCTAAATAATGGCAATAGTAATAAAATGTCTCCGAGAAAGTTTGGCAATTAATTTAAAAATAAGTTTAAGAATATCATTACAAAAACGAAAAGACTTATGCAAAAATTAAAACCAAAATGCAAAAAAGCAGCAATTGAGCTAGCTATAGCTGCTGCTAGAGAACTAGTTGATAATTCTGTTATAAAACTTCCTCGCATTATTCCTATAACAAAAACTGGTGGGGTACCACCTTTGATTCCGATTTTTGCCGGATTATCGGCTACGGGAGCCTTAACAGGTGGTGCAGCTGGTATACTTAAAACTATAAATAAAAAAAAATTGCTGAATTGAAGAGACACAATGAAAAAATGGAAGCCCTTTGTATCGGAAATGGGTTACAGTTTAAGCCTTATAAAAATGGATTTGGCATTTTTGTATCTAAAGAAATAAAAAACTAGAATATATGCTACCCAACCGCGCCTTAACTAATATTAACATTTTAAAGTACGGGAAAAATATTCCCTATTGTCGAGGTGTCTTTATGAGAGATGAGCTCCCAACACACCCTTTTAAAAAAGAATGTGGAGTTATAAACTTAGATATTTCCTCAAATCCGGGATTTCATTGGGTAGACTATGTAAAATTTAATAATTATGTTGAATATTTCGACAGTTATGGAAATCTTAAACCTCCAATGGAATTGATAAAATATTTAGGTCCTAAAGTCCACTATAATTATGATAACATACAGCGTGATCATCCTTTTAATTGTGGACATCTTTGTTTCATTTTTTGGAGAATTTTTGGCACCATCAAGACAAAAAATAAACAAGAACTTCATAAACTGCTCAGTATACAAGCATGACTATAACAGTTACTATCTCAGGAAATAAATCAGAATTGGATTCCTACTTTCAACCGCCTTTGAGTTTATCAGGTCAATACGAGTGTGGTTTACTATATTTTTCAGTAATAGACTCAACAACAAAATATTCTTATATTGATAGCAAGTTCCGATCTGTGAATAGAATCGAATGTGATCTCATATACGCCTCATATTGCAACGGGTTACCTACTCATATTATTCACGAATTTGTATATAAAACTGCTGCAGATAATCAATACATAGAAATACCTCAGACCGTTATTAACTTCCCAGTGAAACTTTAAACAAACGCGAAATATCGAAATATAATGAATGCAAAGACAAACAAATAGAAAAATACCAAAAATTAACTATCAAATCCCAAACATCCATGTCAACGTAGAAACGAAATGCAACAACCGTTGACCACAGACGCAAACACTAAACAACGCACGGTCTATAATTTGTCAAAAGAAACACTGGACCAACCTACAATAAAAGTATTGTCGAAAGGCTTGAATTTTGCTCTAACGCCGCAAAAAATTCCGTACGAGGAAATTATCTGTAGTGATGAGGATTGTTTGTTTAAGAATAATATCGGTAAAGAGGATTTAGAGGCTATACGTCAAGACATTTCGTCCCTGTTACGTCGAAGTTCAGCGCCGAAACTAAATCTCCCCAAAGACGAATTTAAAGCGTTGTACAACTTACGCAACAGACCAGAGCTCACGATTCTCCGCGCGGATAAAGGAAATGCCACGGTAATAATGGACACGTCAGAGTATAATTTCAAAATACAACTACTTTTATCGGACGTAAGTACATACAAAAAGGTCAAAATAGACCCTACAACTAATACACTTTTAATAAAGAAATACTCCGAAAAATTAGATCTCGACGTGAATTCGACAATACCATCATGTGCCAAACCACCGAGGTTGTATGGGTTACCGAAAATACACATACCAAACGCTCCACTACGTCCTATATTAAGCCAGATCGATTCACCAACTTATAAGTTGGCTCAACACTTGGCAAAAATACTGTCACCACTAAGAGGACATACCAGAGCACACACAAAGGATTCATACCATTTTGTTAGTGAGATAAAAGACCTACATCTCGCTGACAATGAAACTATGGTCAATTTTGATGTTCAGTCACGATTCACATGCCTACCTATTGAACACTGCATCTCAATTGTTACTAGAAAGCTAGAAGATAACAACATGCCTACAGAATGTGCAGTATTACTCAAACACTGCCTCACATCTGGCTATTTGTTGTGGAAAGAAGAGTTCTATATGCAAGTAGACGGAGTGGCCATGGGCTCACCTATATCTCCCGTAGTCGCCGACATATTCATGGAGGACTTTGAGGAGAAAGCCCTTCTTACTGCTCCTGTAAATCCAAGATTCTACAAGCGGTACGTAGACGATACTTTCACAATTTTACCATCTGACAAAGTAACTGCATTTTTAAACCACCTTAATTCCATAAACCCTAGAATACAATTCACAATGGAGTTAAAGGCAAAAAATACTTTAGCTTTCCTAGATGTTTTAGTCATCCGAAATCCTGATAACACTATTGGTCATACTGTGTACAGAAAAAAAAGACCCATACCAACCGATATTTAAATGGTGAATCTCACAATCATCCTTCACAGTTAGCTACCGTGGGAAAATCTTTGTTTCAGAGAGCACGAGGGATCTGTGACAGAAAACATCTGAGCGCCAAGCTTCAGCACGTCGAGCAAGTACTGCAAGACAACAAGCTTCGGGTCCCGCGCCTACGTCACAGTGACCGAGTGAAGCCAGCCACAGTCGAGCGTGTGCCTGCTGTACTACCCTATGTCAGAGGATTCACAGACAAGGTTGGCTACATCTTGAAGCGAGCTTCCATTAAAACATACTTCAAGCCGCTGAAGAAGATCGGTCAATTTTTACCATCCGTCGTCAAGTGTCATATCCCTCTACAAGATGCAGGAGTGTACAAGCTGGATTGTGAATGTGGTCTCTCGTACATAGGACAAACAAAAAGATCTATTAAAACCCGCGTTAAAGAACATATAGCTGACGTGAAGCACCGACGTATCGGGAAGTCTGCAGTTTGTGAACATGTTCAAGATCGTCCCCGCCATTACATTAGATTTGATAGACCACAAATCCTCGCAAAAGAACACCGATTCCTCCCAAGGATGATTCGCGAGGCTATTGAAATTAAAAAACATCCTAATTTCAACAGAGAAGATGGATGGGTGCTGCCATCTGCTTGGGATCCCATAATTAATAAAATCAAATCCAAACCCAAATATACCACTGCTAGACTTCAAGATACTGTAAGCTCATTCTGCGTAAATCGAACCAAAAATTAATATTAAAAAACTGAAGGTAGCCGGGCTAACTATGACAGCAGGACGTCAAACACCTCAGTCCTCCGTGACCACGGGTGCTGGAAAGCACCCGAAATGTCGGGAATATAAAAATAAGTTAATATACGCGATAAAATCCGTAAAATTAGATTTATTTAAAAATGTGTAGTGTTCGCGTAATAATAAGAAATCATTATACTTCCCAGTGAATAAAAATAATATTAAATCTATAACTATTAAAGTTTTAGATCAATTTGGATACAGAATTAATTTCAAAGAACAATATATTGAAATTCGCCGCTATTTGAGGAAAATAAAATGATATTGCACTATAAAAACCCTTCAGTCTACTTAAAGCACCCTATTACTTCTACACTCACTAAGGTGCGAAGACGTGAGAAAAAATTTAAGACCTTGAGTAAAAATAATAAAGATTTTCTAAAGTCATTAGGATTTAAAGTATATATATACTACAGATTAATGACTTACCAAATTTCGATACTTCTATTCAAAGTTACGAAGTTCATTCTTATAAGCCATATAATAATAGCTTTAGAGAAAACGATGAAATAAGAATTCTCATACATCAGCAAGACATATTCTCGTATGGGTAATATTTTGAATTCACAATATTACCCATACGAGCCCTCATGTTTAAAGATTTCCGAAAATAAATTTAATATATTATACGAAATGTATGTGAAATTTTGCCAGTCGTACTACAACTGTCCCGCAGACCCATTGCTTGATTTAAGTAGCTTTAAGGAGAAGGCTCCGCTATTTGTGATAGATTGTTCAAGACAAAACGACAGTCTAAAAACGGGACCCGTAGATGTTCGTTTGGAGATTGAATGTACCACGGCAATACCAGAGAAGACAACTGGATATTGTTTAATCATTAACGATCAACTTGTGGAATATATGCCTTTAAGTAACATAGTGCGCAAATTGACACGACTGCTATCGTAGATGTCCAAGGTTTCAAAACAGAAAGAAATGAATCCATAGTGAAAGAAATTGCAATATTATGTAATAATAAAATACAACGACTTTTAATTAAACCACCATTTCCTTTTTGCAAATTGACTGTAAAAGAAAAGAAACATGTAAATTGGATTCAACGTAATAGAAAGATATATTGGTGTGAGTGAGTAACACCTTATTTAAATTATCAGAATTTGATTGCAAATAATATAAAGGATAAATGTTTATACGTCAAAGGTTTAGAAAAAGTTTTATGGTTAAAATCCATCTTACAAAATGATAATATAATTATTTTGAAGATAAAGGATGTCCTAGTTTGTTAAATATGTATGATCGATATAAAGATTATAAAGATTTGTATAGTTCT